CCAGGAGCCTACTTTTCTTGCCTTTAGCCTCTGACAGCTTTAAAATTGTCCAAGTATTATCACCACCCAGGCCCTTGTCTTTTTTTTTTTTTTTTTTAAACGGAGAGACCTGCATTCTGCCCTCTACCCTGAATAGGGGCTTACATTTTAATTTCTATTTCTGAAGCAATGCTGCCCCCCCAAAGTGGTCCCCTCAGTCTCCCCGTCTTTGAGACCTGCCACCCTCTATCTTGGTCATGCACTTCAGAGACATAGATTCCAATACATTTGCAAAGGTTTTTGCATGCGGAAGACTAACTCAGGCATTGTTTTTACCCCAGGGAAATTTTTCACTGTGTATGACCTTCTGATGTTGGTTTTTCTTTGTGTGTTTTTTTTGTTTTGTTTTTTTTTTCTTCTGGCTGCAGGAAAGCAATCTCCCGGGCAGGCCTGCAGCACCTGGCTCCTGCACATCCCCTCAGCCTTCCTGTGGCAAATGGTCCAGCGAAGGAGCCCAGAGCGACTCTGGACTGGAGTGTAGGTGTTGGCTTTTTCATTTCAACGTAATTCAATTGTATGTGTGTCTCTCTCATTCTCAGGATCGCTATGGCTACAAAGCAAGACTTAATCATTTCCAATATTGCTCACCGACCCATCTTCAGATACCTAAGCCATAGTTCCATTCTCAAACCTCCAGCAACATAGCTCCTGTATATGAAATCGGATGCATTCCAGACTAAAATAAAAACTCCATGAATCGTTTGAGGTGCTACTGCCTGGGTTTGCAGCTGTGAGATAAAAAGTATCTCTGTGCACGTGCTCTATTGTTCTTGCCAACTTGACGATGAATAGAGCTTACCCTTAGCAACTTCGTGTCATCTAAGCTTAATTTCCTCAGCTCAAACTGCCTTCTTTTCCTTTTAGGAGCTTGCTTTTTTATTTTTTGGGTTTTTTGTTTGTTTGTTTTTTTGTTTGTTTGTTTCTCCCTGACAGAAGATGATTTCATTTTACATTTTAGGTACTTCATGCCCTCCTGTCTGATATGCTTCTGCCCCCAACACAAAGGGAGATGGGTCTGGTATCAGTGGCTTGGGTATAGTCACCAATTTTAACCAAAAGACATCCACAGAAACTATTAACATGAGCTGAAGATTGCATTCTGAAGTTCTTAAATCAATCAGAATACATTTATTGAGGTTCTTCGGTGAGTCAAGTTCTTGGTCAAAGACATCTATCACTGTGGACTGAAAGGCTTTGTCTCTTCCTGAAGGGATGAATGTAAGGAGCAGCTTGAAGGTAGAATTTTTCCAGTCTGGTCTTGATGGTGATTCTTGTTTAGCATTTGTGGTTGAATTGAACAGTGAGGATAATTCATGTTCTCCCATATGAAAGAGCATGGCAGGGTGGGAAAAGAGTTGGTTTTTTTCTTTGATTACAATATTTTTTTAGCCCATATGTCATGATTTAATGTCCTTTTATATTAAAACAATTCTTCCTCTCTCCCAAGCACACACTTACTGACATTCTTATTTTACATTCTGGACACATGCCCATGTATGCGTACCTGGCAGAAGATTGGACTTAATTGAGATGCAGCTTCTTCCTTGATAAGAGTCTTGAGAATACTCTGGTATTGTATTCTTCACTCAGTACTCTGCACTGGTGCTCAGGAAGAATGCTCGTCTCCTGGAGCTTCCCTTTAGTCCAGGCCAGTTACTTGGTAAACTCTTAAATCATAATGGAATATAGAATATATTCATACCCATGTTTATATAATCAACAAGAACTAAACGTATAAACAAGCAGATAAATAAGATCAAAGAGCAACATTCCTGGTCCAGTTATGAGAATGTTGTGAGTCAGGGACCCAAACCAGTGGATTTAATGTTCATTATGCCTAAACAATCCTCTGACCTAAAGTAGTAGGACCCTGTCTGAGAGGCAGGATTCTAATGAAGGGTAGTTTAAATTGTTGACATAGAAAAAGTCATTAAATCCTTTTGCGCCATGTGTGACATTAGTCAAGTCACTTGATTTCTTTCAGTCTGAGTGTCCTCATCGGTAGACGGGGACAATTGTGGCCCCTCTCTAAGGGAGACTTCCTGGGCATTATTAGGATCAAACATGGCAGTAAGTGTGAAAGTTCTTTGTAAACGGTACAGCCTGCAGATTTATTTAGTCAGAAAGAAAACAGTGGATGAATTCCTTAATTCATCACACATTTGAGTCCCTGCTTTGCGCTGGAGCCTGCGCTGGTTCCTTGGGACTCTGAGGGGAGGAAGATGGGGTTCCTGCTTCAAGAAGCTTGGGAAGCAGGCGGCAGACAAGAAGTCACCAGCAAGCATATAGGGTGGTGGCACCTGGAATAGAGGGGCCCAGAGGCGTGGAGCGCCAGGAAGGATGCTCCATCCCTATTTGACGGTGGAAATAGTTATCAGAAAAGGCTTTTAAAAAGAAGTGTCCTGCTTGGGCCGAAGCTTGGCAAGAAGGTATTATTTCTGATTCCCGTAGAGATGTATGCACTCTAATATTTCATCAGAATGGTATTCTGGGCCAGTGGTGGGACGCTGCACTACATAGCAGGGGAAGAGCAAGTAAGAACCAAGTTCTCTCTTCCTCCCTCTCCTTTGATCGTGGGCACCCTGTCCTGGTGCCCCGGTGAGATTATGGCATGGCAGGAAACACTTTGGGGATATTTAACAATGGAGGGAATGCTGAAAGCCTCCTCTGAAGATACTCCATCTGAGGGCATATTTGAAGATCTGACGTGCAAGGAGCTATAAAGATGTGACAGTGAAAAAAAAATTAACTGTGGGCTGATATTGCTGTTAGTGAACCGAGCAGTGACCAACAACTACAGTTCCTTATTATGATCATGTAAAACATTTTTCTCAGAAGAGAGGAAGAAGCAGATGGCTAAAAACATTTTAAAGTTTTGTTTTTATTTTTGTTTTTTTTTGCTAAGACTTGCCCTTGCCTTACAATTTTTGGCTTTTCCTAACAAATGTGCTTTCACCAGTTTCATTTATGTCACCTAAGGTTTGCTGGTCTGTTCAAATTGCTGAACCAGGATTTTCTTTGTTCGGATTAAAGTGTAAGCCCAGGCCACTGGCTGGATCTGTCTCTGCCGTTCCCTCATCCCATTCCCTGCCTGGCCCCTGTGGAAAAACAGCATGACCGCCTCCCCGCCTCTATCAGCCCACTGTTCTGGACTAAAGGCACTGAAATGATCAATCTTCACTTATTCACTCTTACTATTTACTGATCTCTGATTTGGTTTGGAGCCTTGTATGCGTCTCCCAGATGAGGGGGAGGGCTTAGGGGAATGAGGATCATCTCAAAGGTCTATCGGACTTTGATCCCCTGACTTATGTCACCTCCCCTCTCTGCATTTCACCCGTGAAAAAACAGATACCGAAGCTGTTCATGGTGCATCTGAGGTTGCAAGACAATTCAGGGTGAATTAAAAGCTGGAATGAAAACTTAGTTCCTACGTTTATACTTATTGTAGAATCCCAAGGGGTCCTGTTTTTGACTTCATGCCAAAGTCTTCAGAAAGGGGCACAGCTGTTTCCTAAATATCTTTGTGCAAAGGGCTTTGAGGAGCAGCCTACTGGTGGGGGTGCCTGAGACACAGAAGGGTGCTGATTTGGTGAGCCTAGATTGTAGGCACCTGTGTACTTTGGCCAGGTGTATACTTTTGTAGGAGTTGGTTTGACGTGTATGCAGACTTAATAATTTCCTTAAAGTATTTATATTCTCATTTCCTTACTTAGTGATATATATTATCCCTCTTTTATTTTTAGCTGGTCTTCAAAGTCAGTGCTGTGATTTACTCAAATAGTTGTTATGACTTACCAGATGCTCTGTCTCACATGAGCTCATTTTCTTGGTGACTCTTCATGAACATGCACTCCAGCAGCCTGAGCATAAGCCTGCCCCTCCATGCATGTCAGGGATAGAACCCTGAATGTTGATGTGTGGAGAGTAGCCAAATCAGTCTTCACTATGGCACCTGAGCCTTCTAGTGACAACAGTAGGCACATATGGAAATTGCTATTTCCTATAGAGATTTCCTCTCTTGCTCTGTGACAGGTCATGCTCATCTTTTCAACTGAACTAATTCTGTTTATCGTGCTCACTTTTTGCTTTGTTTCCTCAGAGTACCTCTATCCACGGTGCACTGTCTTATAAACCTTAGAACCAAATTAGTGGGTTTTAGTTGCTTTCTTATTCTAGGTCCTCAGTTCAATTTCAGGCTCCTTGAAGGAAGGGACAGTGTTTTCTGCTTGGTTTTTCTTCTTCACAATGGAGAGCACAGCATCATAGGCCTACCCACTATCTGGCTACAGATGTCAGGGGACAAATTGATTGCAGCTTTTCTGTTCAATCAGTGAGAAGGGGACATTTTACTGGGAGTTGACCAGCCTTAGATAATCTCCAGTTCCTGAAAGGATTGGTAGACAAAGAGTCCAAAGCTGCTTTTTGAAAAATATATGGGTTTATGCTATTTGAACCCCAGGTAACTCTTTTAAAATCTCTTTCCTGGTATGATGCGTTGTGTTAAGTCTTTTTTTTTTTTTTTTTAATTTTTTATTTATTTGTGAGAGAGAGAATGAGAGACAGAGAGCATGAGAAGGAGGAAGGTCAGAGGGAGAAGCAGACTCCCTGCCGAGCAGGGAGCCCGATGCGGGACTCGATCCCGGGACTCCAGGATCATGACCTGAGCCGAAGGCAGTCGCCTAACCAACTGAGCCACCCAGGCGCCCGCGTTGTGTTAAGTCTTAAAGCACAACAGTGGTCTGATCTCATTCCTCCCAATTTACCCCCTCTTCACCTTCACGGTGACAACCTACAGGGGCTGCTCCCATGGGCACCATGTCATGCATATTGGCCAAGCCAGTTTTGGGGAAAACAAGCTAAATTGCCAGAAAGGGAGTAATACTCAAAAAGGAAAAAAAATATTCTCATCCCCTGGGCTGGAATCCAAGTTTCCGGTTTAGAGTGAGTTAGATCCTTCAGAAGTATGTCTGTTGTATAGATAATGTGTGTCTTCTCTTAAATGTCGCATGCCTGATTCTATGGTGGAGACTTAATTTGTACTTAGAGATTTCTTTCTGCTTTTTAGTATGATAGCAGGGAGCAAGGAGGTGGGTCTTACTCTCTCTCCACTGTTTTATAATTTGTTTTTGCCCATTACACTGCCTAAAACAACTTTCAAAGTAACGGTGGAAAAGCCATCCAGATCTTTCTTAAAGGGCATGTTGGTTTTAATGTCGATTTTAATTTCAGTTCATTTTTTTTCCTCCCTCCTTGGAAAATTTCCTCCAATCCTGAGGGCTGTGGAAAATAGGTTCAACACAAACAAAGCCAGATTCTAAATCCAGACCATATTTTCTTTCCTCTAGTTGACAATGCTAAGAAAAGAAGTGCTTTCTCTTAGGCAGGTAGAAACATAACACAGTTATACACCACCTCACCACTTTGTTCAGGGACAAGATTAGGGAAACAGAGTCTTCACGCGGGATTGGGTTAAA